TGCAGGATATAGTAGTAAGAGACCATTGTGAAGATATTTAAATAACAAAGTGCATAGAAAGCAAAGCACTCAACTAACAGCTTTTATTACCCTTCAAGGATTATTTAAGCCTGTTGTCATGTTCTTTGGAATGACCAACTTGTCTGCTACCTTTCAGGTAATGATAGATAGAATATTTTCCAATCTTCTACTAGAAAGGTGGCTTGTAATCTATATTGACAACATTCTTATCTTTTCCACCAACCTGGAAGAACATCATCATAGGACACAGCAAGTACTGCAAAGAATAAAGGACAATAATCTGCACCTCAAGCCAGAAAAGTACATTTGCAATGTTCAAGAGATCAAACTTTTGGGTTTCATTCTTAAACCTGGATGTACTGGAATGGCTGAGGATAAGGTATCAGCAGTACTCAAATAGGACAACATTACCAATGTCAAAGGCCTTCAACAGTTTCTAGGATTTGCCAGTTTTTACTGACAATTCATTCCAGGATATTCAAAGATTGCAAGACCCTTGTTTGATCTGCTGGTCAAAAGAACCAAGTGAGAATAGAAAGAATTGCACAGCACCACTCATGCCCAACTAAAACAATGCTTCAGTCAACAACTGCTTCTGGTACAACCAGATGTTGACAAACCTTTCTGGATAGAGTCAGATGCATCCCTCAAAGCCTCAGGAGGAATCCTTTTGCAAAAACACAGCAACAGATGCTGGCACCCATGCACTTTCCTTTCCCAGTCCTTCTTTCCCATTGAGCAACAATACAAAATCTATGACCAAGAATTGCTTGCTATCATCTACTGCTTCAAAGCCTAGTAACACTACATCAAAGGATGCAAAGAACCTGTTACAGCTTCGAGGGGGGTTTTCTTTCTTTTCCTAACTATTCGTTATTAACCCTGTAACTGTATGACTGATCCCATCAACTGATGTGTTTCACCTACATCAATGTTTCATATCTATCATGTTTCATCTATATCATGTTTTACTTACATCATATTTCATCTCCATCACGTTTCATCTTCATCACTGATACAACCCAGTGAAACCTGTTTCATGTACATCACTGATCCAACTCAGTGTTTCATATTTTATTAAACCCTATTCGCTTTGCCTTACATTTCTTGCTCTTCTGACTCTTGCCCTCACTATCTCCTTCATTCTATACACCACTGTCTAGCATCTCAAGAAGGAGCATTTGTGGGCAATCAACCTCATCACCACCTTCTAACACCTAATAAAACCTACAATCAACAACATACTAATAATCACCATGCATTGTAAGCAAAACCAACCAGACAGAGTGGTGTGCTTTGAGTATATTAAGGATTTGTTAAACTAGATCCAACTCTGGCACTTCCCTTTGTCAGTAGTACTCAAAATCTTTTGTATTTCCTCTATCTCCTTCTTTTATTCTATTTTTGGCTCTATCTGGTTCTCAAACACATGTATGGCTGACCACCACCAACAATCTACTCAGCCACAGGAATATGAAGAGGTTGTGGAGTGCATGGACTTGTATAAAGACCAACAAGCAGGATCATAAGAAAATTAAGAAGTCTAGAGAGAACCTACCTCCTTTGCCTTTCATCCCAGCATATTTCTCAACAAAGAAACTTGACCCTTTCTTGGAGAATGGCTCTTCTCTCCTCCTCCTCCAATTGCCCTACATCCTACTTGTCCACTTCCCTAGCATGCTATCAGGGAAACCCCCAAATGGCTTACCTACCAGTGCACCAAGCTCTAAGGCCTGACTATTAATTCCCCTTTCACTAGCAGACAAACAACTTACATTCCATCTCAATGATGGTTGTGCCAGGAAGCCAGTATCCCCTCTAGTGATGAGAATATCTATATTGGTGTTACATCACTGGATATTGCCAAATTCCACAAGCTTACCAAGGATGTCACAATGTCTGCTGCTAACCCCATTGATGTGATAGACATTGTTCACACCACTCCAGAGTCCAAAGAGTCTGAGAATCCTCATCATGTGCCATCTACCACAATCCTTGTTAATCCTAAGGGATCCTCTGAACACTCAAATTCTAAGCAGGATGAAGAGGATAGTCTCCCAGCTCTGGAATCATCTATTGTCTTTGCTGAGCAACCTTTTACCCATCACACATATTGCCCAGACCCTGGAGCTGAGTACCTAGTTATGCCCACTATGCTTCTCAATTGTCACAGAATTTCATAGCATCTATCTTATCATAAGTGTTTAGATAATCTATATCTTATCTGATTAGATATCTACCTAGATAAGGATAGCATTATGCATGGTGACATGTTACTAGTCAGGTGCTTAGCCCATCAGTTGGGCAAGGCTATAGAATATCCCCATCAGCACTAGAAGCACACATGGCTGTTCAGGTGATCATCATAGTAGAACTACTGGCCATACATGAGGCAGAGTGTTTACACATCAGGTATTCTTAGATAGCCAATGGCATATATTGAGCATCAGTCAGCCTAGGTGTTAGGTGTACTACCAGTAGTATTAGGGGTCTGGCTTCTTATGTATAAAGACCAGAACAATACATCATAGAGAGGCAGACTTTGTCTCTTCTCTACCGTCTCTCAACCTACAAAGCATCCTCTAAGCTAACCGCTCCCTAAGAACTAAGCCACTGCCAATTCTTAGTAAACTTCTAGCATCCACAAGCGAGTGCTAGGGTTAGGGGTTTTGCTTTAGTTAGGTATCAGGAGAGATACCCTGACATCAATACTGAACCTGCTGGTATTGCCATATCTATTCATTGTATCCTGCCCTATCTCAAGGGATCAGCATCCATAGCTCATGTTCACCCTCCTGTCATTGTTGGTCTTTCTACCAATCCCATTTTCCAGCATTGCAAACTCACTAATATGTTGCCTTGACACTTGAGAAAGGCTTCTCCACAACCAAGCATCTGCAATGACCCCTAGGATCCAGACACCATCAACTTCCTTAACAACTGGGATAAGGTGACCACTAAAGTCCTGTGGGTGCAATTGAAGGCAATTGGGGATAAAGTGTTGCTTGAGGAAGTAGATTGGTACCAAACACTATAGGTATGAAAGGCTTTGCTCAAGGCTGTCAGCAACAAGGTTCTCAGGTCTGTCACCTAGGTAGAAGGTGCTCTAGATGCTTGCACAGATAGGCTCAATGCTGCTAACCTTATGCAGAGGCTGGATCAACACAATTTCTCTCCTATTGATCCCTCTGGTCTTTGTACCAGGCATTACCTTCTGTATTGCACCAAATACAACACCAATGGACATGACTTCACCAAGTGCTGGAACTGGGTTTACATACATTGTGAGCACCTCCATCCCCACTATCTGGTACTCTCACTCACTTGTATAATGGCTGAACTACTATATATCATAGAACAATGACAGCACATGCGTAACAATGTCTTTCTTCAGTACCCTGATTAGACAAGATGAAGCTGGAGAGGGGAGTAGTGTTACAATGTTGTGAGGAGGTCCCTTTTTTTATCTTTCTCATTCACTCCAGACCCTGTACAATCTATTTCTGGCCAATCCTTTCCTGATACTTTTTATGTGCTTCTCTCATATCCAACTATCATTGTACATTATTGTTTTATCTCAGTGTTTCATCTCTGTCACTCTATCTATCAGTTCTCAATTTAACTCCTGTACTGATACATCACTCTATGTACATTGACAGAACTCTATATGATTTCCAATCCCTCTATCTATTTAAGACATAGCTATGGCCTTGTTTTACTCTAGTTTTGTCTGCCTGTTCCTACATATACCACATAGAGACATCTGCAATAGAACCCAGGCATTTCTATCTGCTTCAGTCAGTCTGGGCTCTCCAACTTCTTCTGCTAGGGAAGCTCAGCTTTAGTTGGACAATAATCCTAGTTCAAGTCTTCAGCATAAGACTTAGGTGTTAATATCACATAACACCCAGACAGTATCAAGACAAATTCCTGATCCTCAGTGATTCAAGGTCCCTTAACACAAGCTAGGTGAAGTGCAAAAGCTTAATTGTATATTTATAGTAATCAAACATAAATCAAGGGTGTTATAATATCACATACAGCTTGCCACAGCTTGTAAGAGACATAAACAGCCTTCCTGAATGATCTGGTCTATAGTTGAAAATACTGTGAATTTTTATACAAGAGATAATGTGCTCAAAAATGTTAGCAATAAAAGTGTGGCAATGGATTGTCCATAAGGATCAATCAATATCTTCACTAATCCTCTATCAAAGTACATATTGTGGGCTTTATTAGATTCTACAGAAGTAGGGAATTCTAATAACATCTATATTTTCTATATTAGCACATCTAGTTCTCATTCTACAAGCCAAACAATATGACTGTTGCAAATATTGCAATATTTTTGCTAGTCACAGTAGGTATCACAACCTCAAAATGCACATTTGGTCTGGTCAGAACTCTTGATCCTCAGTTGTTCCAACTGAGTGATTATGTGTTATAGGACTGTGATGCCTAAGTCCTGAGCTGAGGATTTTGTACTTGAGTCTTATACAACTAGAGCAGAGCTTCTCTAGCAGGGAAAATTTAAGAGTATATGCTGAGTAAAGCAGACAAGAAAATGCCTAGGTTCTCTTGGTTGTCCCGATGAGGCATGTATGGGAACAGGAGGACAAAACCAAAGTACTATAATACAGAGACTAGGTCTTAAGTAGAAGAAACTATTGGAAATGAAACTGAGTTCTATCAAAGTAAACTAAAATGATGTATCAGTTGATGAGTTAAATCAAGAAACTGATAGATGGAAATAGAGGAGGCAACAACTAAGATGAATCAGCAATGTAGATAATAACAGATAGATGGAGATGGTAATAGAATGCATCAGTAAAATAAATATAGGCTATAGTTAGATCATACAGGGTCAAATGAGAATAAGGCAAGAAAGAAAAGAAAACCCCCCCTGAGGCTGTAACAGTTTCTTGATAGCAACTATTTAAGGGACCTGGAATAATAGAGAATCAGGAGTTCTACTTGACTAGTTATCCTAAGATGCTTAAGTCCTATAGTGAGGATTCATACTGTTAAGGGACCTGACGACTGAGGATCACGAGTTCCACTTAAGACTACTACTGACAAAGGTACTGCTACATGTAAGGCTGACACACTATC